TATCCCCTAACTCGGATTCAGGGACTTCTCAGGAGGGAGTCCGTCGGACCACTCCCTCCTCATTTTGTAGGCTCAATGCCTATGGGTCTTTCTACCTAGCCTACCTGACGGTCCAGATGACTCTTTTCCGAGCCCTTTTACGTCCAGTTAGCATGATAGCCACCTTATCGTCGAAGGAAGGCTCATTTGGTGTCGATGTGACGAATGACAACGCCTATGTGGCTGGCGGCTTTGACCATGCAGACGACCAGATTAATGGCACCAAAGCTGTGATTAAGGGGGCATTGGCGGTGATGAAGGAGGTTGTTCAATTTGCAGAGAGCCTCGGAGGTTCTGAATGGGATGCGTTTTGGCATAGCTGTGAGCTTATCCCTCCCCAAGATCACACGCACTCCCCTAATCTCACGAATACAGGGTCAAGAACAAACTTTGCTATCATGGCTTGCATCATGCTGAACCTTGTCTTCATATTACGTCCACCCATTTGGGCAGTGAGGGCAAGTTCGGTTGCCGGGTCACTCCAGTCTCCCGCAAATTCGGCCTCGTCTCCTCGTCCATCATCATCCTCATACAGACGGCACATTAACCGTAGCCATGAACAGCAGGCACCAAATACGAATTCATTTCTCAATCTGCAAGACGACTATAAAACACTTCTTGACTATCTCACGAGGTGGCGCTGGGCTATGAAAATCTCATCCCGCGGCGCTGGTGGGCGAAAAGGATTGATGAATCTGAGTTTATTGCGCTTGGATGCTCTGCTGTCTGAACTGAGCTATTCTTCCACTACCGAAAGCGATGGAGAGAACCACATATTGTAGGCCGTAGACCAAGAATAGCAGGGCAACCAAGAATCGGTCCTCCATATGGTTTGACATGGCTGCTTAGTATTACCGTCTGAACTGACCGTCTAGGCGACAGCAGACAGTTCGTCAACCTTTGACTGAGGCAATCACACCCTTCGCCTGGCTGAATTGTCCTGACTTCTCCTCATCAGTCACTTCACGGCCGTCTAAGATCGCGTCTCGCTCGTTGGACCAGTCATAATCTTTATGAATCCTTGCATCTTTGGGTGGAAAGATCAGAGACAAGACGGAGAACAACACAAAGCCGCCGACCATACCTAATCAAGGCGATTAGCAAGACGGGATACAAAAGAATTACCACATTGCTTTAATTTCTTTGGATGAAAAATAGATGTTGAGGAAGGCTTGGAGCTTACCGACGAAGAATGTGATTTGAAAGATACGTTTCCATGGTAGGCCAATGTTCTTGCCGGAGATAGCCATAGCAAATCCAGCTACTACAATTAGCATTGGTGTACATTTGGAGAATCTTGCAAAGAGGGTCTTACGCAGCGATGGCCAAATCATGAACAACCAAACAGCGAAGGCCAGCACATTGAAGCCTCCTTTAAACCAATAGACCGATTCCTTGCTTCCAATATACAAGTCGGGCACAGTCCAATTTCTCCTACGCACGACCCAAAAGTCGGCAATATACATGCCGATTAGGGGCGAGACGAAGAGACCGAATGAGCTGAGCACTGTGGTGAATGTTGACGCAGAATTGACGTAGTTCCATGGGCAAACAGCAAAGCCTACTGTAGCAAGCAGATAGCCGCCTCGCCTGGCATTAAGGAATTTTGGGGCCACTGAGGTTAGATCCATTCCTGCTGCAACGAAGTTGAGGGATACGTTGACCTGGAAAAGTTTAGCTTGTAGACCTGATAGTTAAGGCGGACTTGCTTACGGCTAACTGGCTCAAGAACCACCCGAGCCCCCCGAAGAAGGTTCCTGCTCTAGCACTGGCCGAGTAATCGACTTCTTGGATGTGTAGAAGGAGAGATATAGGCTGCCAATACGCTTTTCCATACATTTGCAAGGTAGCACTAGTGACAAAAACGCCAAACATTCCTGTAAGGGTCAATGCCAAGGGGCATACGATCCAGATACCAAGGAGAGGGGCGGTACGCGTCTTTGCATAGCGCGACCAATCTGAATGGCGTATACTAGCACCGGTAAAGCTGCCACATAAGGTACATATTGCCTGGACCATGACGAAGAATGTCTCTCTAAAATAAGGTCAGCATGTGTTATGTTCCTGGCCGAAAGATCAGGGCCAGCCTACGCTTTTGAGAGATTCTTGCCAGGAGCAACCATATTACCAGCACCGTGATTCGCAGCCATAGCCCAGATGAACATGCTTATAATCGTTATCACCACAGCCACGAATGACACTCTAAAGAACACGTTCATTCTGAAAGGCGGGATGATGAGGACTCCGTAAAACACAACCATATATAGGACCGTTCCAATCAAGTCTGCTGTCGTGATATTGGCGCTAGATGCTTATCAGCTAAGTTGCCAATCGAGCTGAGTCTTCTACGTACCTCGGTGGGAGAGTGTTTCGCATGTGATGGTAAGATGGAAAGATAGCTGCCAACATGACGTGCACGGAAAGCCCACCCCAGTAGGATTGGATTCCGCAACTGCAAATCAGTCAGAATAGCTCAGGATCTCTAGACAATGAAGCGTTGGTATGGTATTGCGTACTAGAGAAAATTGGTAAAACACTTGATAACCACGACAAAGTAGCTACCATACATGCCGAAGGTAGCTCGGCTCATGATGGGGAATCCAAGGTGATATTTGACGCCGGGCTCGCCACAAGTGTAAGCGACAATAGAACACACCACGGAGCCGATTAACATGGCACAGATAGCCTCTGCAGCGGTCAGGCCATTGGCGATAGCTGTCCCTCCCATAGACCAGAAGGAAGCGCAAACTGCACCGGAAACCCTGTATAAAACTCATCTAGTCAGTTCATGGACTATAGATCTAGTACTTGGCAACTAAATAGTTGCGCTTATAGAAGAACAAGCTTCATACCAATAGCTGGCATAATCGGCCATTCCAAAGGTCCTATTTTTGGGCAAGACGGGGAGGATATCAGGGCTTTTCCAGCGGTCGACAGGACGCCCATCGTCCTCATCCGTGATCGTCACGAAATCGCGTACAGCCTTTAATACCTTCGCCATATCAGATCATATGCAACGAAGGTGACACAGAGATGGGGAGGTTGCGAGTAATACTGTCGAAGAAACACGAACGGAAGGATTTCGACAGGAACATATTCACATCTCTATATAGTCCCATACGAACGAACTACTTGCATCGAGAAATTGATAAGGGAATGTGCGAAGAGGTACAAGATTCGTGCTTCCAGTCGTGCTTGAAGTTGACTAGATAAGCCATGCTCAAGTACATTAGTTTTCTTGTGGAGACTTTGTGAGCTAAACTCGTCGGCATCGGCGTTCTGGTCGGCCACCAGCACCCGCCGACGGCCAACGTCGGGCCGACGCCTCGAGAGGATGGCTAGACATTGAATGCTTTGAGATGGTCCAGTAATCAATAGAGAGTGGTTATCTAGTTTTGAATTAGATCTTTAACCTCCCGATCCCTTTTTGCCTCCGCTACATCTCCTCAGTGAGACAATAGTCGGTGAATCCTGAGCATCACAAAGTCGAACTACCGTCTAATTAGACGAAGGGAGAGAAAGTAGCTCTGGTACCTATAAGATTGAATGTGAATTATACGTTTTGTGTTTGTCTTGGACTCGCACATCTAGTTAAACGCATCCTACAGCTCTACGTGAATCGAGCAAGACAAACTATACGTATTATGCACTTGCGTAGTTGACTTTACAAATAAAAGTGCCTTTTGAGTAAAGAATGCCGTATGATGGATTGATAGACGGTATTGTGCCGTTGTACTTCATTCCGGTCGTTGTTCAGGCCAGTTGACAGTCCGGCAGGCGACTGGCAGTTGGCCAGTGCTATGCACAGCTGTGGACAGCTGTCAAGGCCGACACCGCCTCAACCCCATCGAATGGATTGAAGGTTCCCATTATACGCTATGCTGCAAGTGACGGTTCAATATGGCGACTGCTGCTCCAACTGAAGCGCAGACACACTCAGATGCTACGCTTGTCTACAACTATCACCGAATGTCACAGCAGCTACCAGCCGACGCCGACGCCATCTTCTGCTTATGCAGCCTGGACAAACGAGTCGCAACACGAGCAGCGCAGCTATGGCTCGACGGAGTAGCGCCGCTGCTCATTTTCTCTGGCGGCTCCGGCAAGCTAACAGCTGACCGGTTCGTGGGCCCGGAGGCGGTTGTGTTCGCAACCATAGCGCGTGAGATGGGCGTACCCGATTCGGCACTAGTGATCGAAGACAAGTCGACGAACACGGGCGAGAACGTGCGCTTCACGCATGCCTTGTTGCGCGAACAAGGACTGAATCTGCAGAAGTTGCTTTTGGTTCAGAAGCCGTATATGGAGCGCCGGACATACGCGACTTTTTGCAAGCAGTGGCCTGATGAGGGGACCGAGTTCAGTGTGACAAGTCCTCAGTTGGAATTCACGCAGTATCCCGATGCAGAGAATCCAAGAGACCTTGTCATTAATATCATGGTGGGCGATTTGGTCCGAATTAGAGAATACCCGGCCAAAGGGTTCCAGATCAAACAAGACATTCCTGATGAAATATGGGCGGCTGGGCAGAGGTTGATTGGGGCGGGATTTGATAAACATTTGCCTTGACAGTCCTTATCATAAGCTGAACGGAAAGATTGAATTATGAGACTGGAGGCAAATGACACATAAGAATGGTTGAAAAGCATGGCTGAGCGCTCCTAGGGGTGGTACCTTTCGATCGATTTTGGAGGCAAGGCTTTACGTAAGAAATGGTCGCGATATGGGCACATCATACTTATATGAGTTTAAAAAAATTTCATTGTCTAGCAAAGTGATGTGTTATGATCAGTTCAGATGATCTCTGATGAGTAGGCGCAGAGGTCCTTCCATCTTTAGCGATTCCTAGTAGGGACGTTCCGTAACTGTGACATCAATCTAATCCCTGAGAAACTTGCAGAGAGCAAGCAAGCAAAAGCGGTGCTCTCTTCGTGAATGAAGAGAATGTGAAGGATGAGATTTTAGACAGCGGCGATATCCTCCTCGGCGTTCTCCTCCTGACCCATATTCTCTCCGTCTGAGTCTGCCTTGACGGAACCCTTCTTGGCACGCGGCTTAGCGGGCTTGCGCTTCTTGGCGGGAGTTTCGTCGCCATCACCGTCAGTACCGGCCGTGGCACCGCGCTTGGCCGTGGCACCCTTCACCGACTGTGTTGGGGCATTTGCGACAGGAGCTCCGTGAGTAGCTAGCTTCTTCTTGATGGCCCAGAGAACTTTGTAGGCGGCCTTGCCATCCTTCATGCCGGCCTTCTCGGCAAGAGCCTCGTAATCGACCTGTCGTAATCCTGTTAGTCATCACTTCGTGGTCATACAGATCAAATTATAATATATGTCTTCATAGCAAAAGTAGTCACCCGTGACGTGTTTCTTGGGGCTGAGATTGGGAGAATATCTTACGTCAGGTTGGGACTTCATGCAGGAAAAGGCATGAGCGAGGACGTGAATATCCTTCTCGGAGAGAGGCTTCGGGGCGGAATTCTCAGCGGACGACATGATGTTTATTCGTGATGGTGTAGTGATGGAAAAATCTTATTCGTTGCAGAAGTAGAAGTAAAGCTGCCGAGTTTGGATGGCGGGGCGTGAAGAAGAGAAGAAAGATGTGATGGTTGTTGTGAGAAAAAGATCCGACGGTTGAGATTGTTGGAGGTTTTGTTTTGCAAAATGTGTGGCTGACGAGGTTGCCTTGGGGATATTTGCCGAGCAAGCAACAAAAGCTTTGTTGAATCAAGGCTTAAAAACATGGCAGGTCTGCTTCTAGCTACGGATTGTAAACTCACCCCACATCGAGTTGGGTAACATATCGAACCAGGCAAACGTCGTCATAAATAGCAACTCCTCCCAAAGTAAGGAATTGAGGGATAGATGGCTTCTCTTTATCGCCCAGATGTCGACCCCATTCATAGCATGGACACTCTATGAAGCTTCGATGCCGTCAAGCCTTGCAGAGGATCTCGATGACTTCGACGAACCAATTAAACAATGAATCATTCACTATTGGCGGATTTGTTACATATAATTCGCCATTTGTCTCAGAGCTCAGCAGTGATCCCCGGAAATGATGTTTCTAAGTGAATCAGCTATATCTCGTAAAGTCTTGTGAATTATCTGTAAGCCAGAAATCCCAGAAAGACTTCGATGCGAGCCTAATTTTCACCTTGTCATACTATGATAAATGACATGTGATTATCGAAGATAACGATGTATATATTCTGTGAAGGTGCTTAGATTTAAATGAGCGCGCTTGCTAAGATAACTAACTTCATTCAGCCTTAGTGAGGCTGTTCAGTTGAGCGAGGCAGACACTCTGCCTAAAGTTCAAAATTTTGTTTTCTGGCCACTCGTCGAAGATGTTCGAAAAACTTTCCATGCTTAACTTCAACAAAAAGTCATGGATGGTAAGCAAGACCTCCTATCAATACAAAGTTGATTAGTGCGTGGTACTAACACACAAAGCCAGACTGTCCACCGGCAATAGTGATCGACAACGGGTGAGCCAATCTAGTTTCCAGCTCCGTCCTCGAGCCTAATTTATGACCTTTATTAGTTCCAGGGTATGCAAGGCAGGCATTGCTGGTGATGAGACTGCAAGATTTGTCCTCGGTAAGGTCAAAATATGAAGTGTACGAGGGGCATATCCAAGCTGACTCGCTTTCCTAGACTCTGTCGTGAGATATCCCGACCAGCTCGACGATGCTATCTGTCATCCTATAGCTCGTGACGTAGCGACATATTGGGCCGCAATGGAGGCAATGTGGCAAACCGTCTTCGCAGCACCTCAGCTTGAAGGCGCCTACCCTTCCACGGGTCACCCCGTCCTGGTCACGGAACCGCCACTAAACCCACGATTCAATCGCGAGATGCTAGCGCAATACCTTTTTGAAACATTCGATGCCCCATCGCTTCAAATTGCTATTCCTGCAGTACTTGCCATGTACGCTTCGGACAGGGCGACAGGCACTGTCCTCGACTCTAGCAATAGCATCACACATGTCGTGCCTGTCTTTGAAGGATGGTCAGTAGGTAAGGCCGTCATGCGTGCTGATGTTGGTGGAAATGAGACCACGGAGTATTTCATGCGAGCATTGGTCGTCGACTCCAGTGCTGCGAGAAGGATCAAAGAGGAAGCTTGTTACGTCATCACTCGATCATGAGTCAGAAAAGCGCAAAGCCGAGCTAGATCTGATAGAAGGAAAGAAATTCGAACTTCCTGATGGGCGCTCTCTAATTGTTGATAAGCAACGGTTTTGTGCGACAGAGGCCCTTTTCGGACCCTGGATGTTGGATTTGAGGCCGATGTTATCCAGGACCTGGCGTACAACTGCATAAAGTCGTGTGACATCGACCTTCGCAGATCACTATATAACAATGTAATCCTAGCAAGTGGATTAAGATTGTGTCTACTACCAACGCTGTTCCCCTACAGTCTGGTGGGAACACTATGTTCCATGGAGAAAGATGCTTCTACAAACAGTCGAGGCTAGATAGAGCAATAAAAAAATACTACGGGGCAAAAAAACAGAACTTCGAGGAGATTGCGTTTCATCCCGCACTCAGACGTTGAGCGGCAGCTACGGCTTTTCAGGAATCCGCTCTGAAACCTCTGGGGCTTGAACACTGAACACTCAAACACTTGAGCGATACTTATGTGTCTCGAGTTACCACTTGACCAGGACTGTTGATATTGGGTACGATTGTATTCCCTTATAAGGGTTTCCCCAGCCACAGGTTTGACGCGCTACCGCTAACGTGTGGGTGCCTTGCTACCTCGATAACTGCCTCAGGTACTCGGTAATTTGCTTATAGGTGCCTCAACCTGCATATTACCGTCCCTATGCTACATTTGTTTGACCATCTTCTCTGGCATAGCCGATCGTCTACGCCCAGAGCTTGTGTCACTTGCACCTCCTGGCGTTGCGGTTCAGGTTGTAACCCCTGTACAGCGACAGTTTTCAGCCTGGATCGGTGGCTCACTACTTGCTTCCTTATCAATCCTTCCAAAATCCTTAATATCACAGCAGGAATACAACGAGATTGGCCCATCAGTCGCACACCAAAGATCCGTTCTCTGGTGGATTCTCAAAGTGATTATTTCTCATACCTTCAATAGTGCACGCAAATAGATTGTGACTCGTCTCGCCATCTAAGTTCGTCTTTAGTGGATACTTAATGTGCTTTGGAAGCCCAAACAATTCGAAAAATTGGATTAGCTGCAAATGGATAGGTCATTCCCGCTATGTCTTTCCCATCCCTGCCAACGCCACGAGCTCATCATACTCGCCGGTATTCCTCAACATATTCCAGAAGACGCCTTGATCTCGGCACAGCTCCAGTGGAGAACCCATTCTATTACAGTCAGCTTCTGATGACATCAGTACTGCAGAGGACACTTACTCTAAAACCCTACCCTCACCCATGACAATCACTCTGTCATAGTCCATGATTGTCCGTAGACAGTGGGCAATGGTTATAATTGTCGAACCGGCAAATTCTGAGCGCATGAGTTCTTGCATGTGTTTGTCTGTCTCATGGTCTACAGAAGCGGTTGCTTCGTCCATGATGACAATCTTTGAACGGCGACAAATGGCACGAGCTAGTCCAAATATCTGGCGTTGCCCATTGCTGAAATTCTTGCCACCATTTGTAACAGGAGTGTGAATTGAGAGCTCCATCTTGTGTGCTTTGCTCCCGTCTGCAATATTCTGACCTAAGTTGCATGCTGCAAGCACAGATTGTAACTCTGTCTCATCCATCTCTCCAGATGGATCAAGGTTCGATTGAACATCTCCGGAGAAGAGCATGGGATCTTGTGGTATCAGACCGATACATCTCCTGAGCTGCTGAAGCGGAATATTGCTTATGTCTATGCCATCAATGGTCACACTTCCGGAAATGATCTTCGTGGAACGCAAAAGTGAGAGAGCAAGCGTACTCTTTCCACTTCCAGTACGACCAATAACAGCGATTCGTTCACCGGGTCTAGTGATAAAATTGATACCGTTCAAAACATCGGGCCCATCAGCTGTATAGCGAGCCGTGACATCATGAAATGCAATACGACCGGATGACGGCCAAGATGCCGGGATGTTGTTCTTTTGTAGCTGCGTCGCTTTCTCTTGGCTTTCTTCAGATTCGATTCGTGTATAATCAGATATGCGTTGAAATGAGTTCAGCTCAACTTCCAGCTCATTCATGTTCCGCACCAGAGTCAGGATCGTCTGACTAAGTCCAATAGCGTTCGTAAGAGAGAAGCCGACAAGACCAGCTGAGCCGGACTTGTAGTACGCTATGCAACCAGCTGTTGCTGCAATTGTCGCAGCGCACAGGTCAGATCTCACAGACACCCAGCGATTACAATTGAACTGTGCTTCAGCTGCTCTCATGTGTTGCGCAAGTTTGTCCGCAAGAAGGTTTTGAAAGACGTCGTCCATCTGCCTCCCTCTAATCACGGCAAGACCGGCTGATGTATCATTGAAGTGCGAGAAGACGGGCGCAAATCTCACAGCCACAAGACGTTTAATTGATATTTCGGCACGTGAATAGAGCTCCCCGGTCGCAAAACCAATCAGACAGAAAACACCCGCGGGTAAAGCGAATATTGGCATGATTGAGGCTATACTAGCCAAACGGAGTAAGAATCGCAGGCCATTGTCGAGGGTCATCCGGAGCCAGTCAACCAGTACAGCATCCATTGACTGAGTATCAAGACCAAAGCGGTTGAGTATCTGACCGATAGGAGTTTGATCGAACCAAGTTATGGGTGCTTGGATCACGGCAGTAACCAAGCGTTGATGCATGGTCCTTGCCGCGTGCCACCCGCCTCTCTGATAGATGAAATTGTTCAGGAATTGAAGCGATACAAATGCAACCACAGTACCAATGTATACGAGAAGATACTTGATAGTCTTAGAGGAGTGGTTAGTTTCAGCATTTGAGCCTGTCCAAATCGAGAGCCACACGGTGATCGAAAAGTAGGCAAGTTGCACCATCATAGTACTACAAATCGCTAGGATGGCATGAGGTAAGCCTCCAAAGAGCAACATGTAGTTCAGAACTAAGCAAATAATCAGCAAATGTCATCACCACAAAACGACAGATGTTTGTCTTACTCATTGATCGCGGAACACGCCCTGATGCTTTCTTCTCTTCGTGCTCAAGATCTCCGGTGTCTCTTGAAGAATTGATGGGAGCCGGTATGTCGGTTTCTGGAATATATTCATCTAATTCAAAGCTTACTGTCGAGTTCGATATGGTATCACCCGTAATCTCCGTCTCTTCGTCTTCGGAAGGCCGAGTGCTGGGACCGTTTCGTGTAAATGATATGCGACCTTGATCAAGAGCAATCAACAGGTCTGCTCTCTCTACAGCAGCGGTGAGATGAGTCACAAGAATAACAGTGCGGTTGGCTAATAAGCCACTCAAGAAGCATCGACTGTAGATCTGTGATGTGGTATGCGTGTCTAATGCCGAGAAGATATCGTCTAATAGAAGTGTAG